CAAGAGCGGAACCTCCTATCAGCTCCTTCAGGGGTAGCTTCTCTTCTATCTATCAGGGAGAAAAGCTTTCTGAGATACCCTCTTTGTATCAGATCCTCGATGTCTCGTTGGACCCTGGCAACACTCAATAATCATTAGTGATATGACAATGATCCCTGTAGTATCGACAGTATTGTCGAGGGTGGCGATTGCGAGGGTCTAATTTCGTTCGAGGAGGGGGAGAATTGAGATATCCCTCCTTCTACACCGTATAGAGAGCATCCGTGAGAGAGGTATTAAGGGCCATGGGGACTAACCTTGGTAGGGGATCCTTCCTTCGGTTCCTCCTATCATACCAGTTTGGATTGTAGTCGACTCTGGGGGGATCTATTGGCTCTGGACTTGTTAGGGGGTCCCTTGCAGACTCCGATGTTGGCTCTACCACTGGGTTTGCAGCGGTTGTCATGGTTAGTGTAGCTAGGGGGAAGCATCGCTTCTTGGCTAATGAGTTGGTCAGCTCATTACTTAATAAGCCAGCCACAATGGCAGACATGGCGACTGAACTTTTAGGGTCATCCACCTCCAGTCTTTTCACCTGGAACCTCTTGAAATAGTCTCGGAGGCTCTCTCCAGGCTCTTGCCTTATTTTTATCAGAACATGAGGAGATAACTTCTGCTTGGTGTCGGCCAAGAAGTGATGCACAAACTTCTAGCTGAGCTGTTTGAAGTTGTCGATGGACATCTTCTCTAAAGCATTCCACCAAAGCTTGGCACTCTCCGATAGAGTGATGAGAAAGCACCAACGGATGATGGCCTCAGGCGCCTGTGACATGCTCGTCATGTTATAGTAATTTTGGACATGCTCCGTGAAGTCTCCTTCACCCTTGTACTTCTCTACATGAGGCATCTTGAATCTTTCACCGGTGATATTCATGATGTCGTTGGTGAGGGGAGTATTCCCCCTAATAGCTTTAGCAATCAGTCGATAAGACCGATCATAACCAAATGCCACGTAGGTCGCTGACAGGCCTGGGGGAGCATGGTGATGTCGAGGGCCTCGTGGCGTTCCTCCTACAGCATGCTCTCTATCATAAGGACCAGGGCTCAGGCACTCACCGGTCGCTTCCATATATTTCGGGTAGTGCTAGTGGGGATCCGCAAAGCGAGCTGGTAGGCACAGCATTCGTCGATGGACTTCTTCTAAAGCATTTCACCAGAGCTTGGCACTCTCCGATAGAGTGATGAGAAAGCACCAACGAATGATGGCCTCAGGCGACTACGACACGCTCGTCATGTCATAGTAATTCTAGACATGCTCCGCGAAGTTTCCTTCGCCCTTGTACTTCTCTACATGAGGCATCTGGAATCTTTCATCGGTGATATTCATGATGTCGTTGGTGAGGGGAGTATTCCCCCCAGTAGCTTTGGTGATCGATCGATAAGACCGATCGTAACCAAACGCCACGTAGGTTGCTAACAGGCCTGGGGTAGCATGATGATGCCGAAGGCCTCGTGGTGTTCCTCCTGCAACATGTTCTCTATCGTCAGGAACAGGGCTCAGGCTCTCACCGGTCGCTTCCATATATTTAGGGTAGTGCTGGTGGGGATCCGCAAAGCGAGCTAGTAGGCACAGCAGGCAAGACACGTACTCAGCATGGGCTCTCCGCTATCCCATAGGATCAGCGTGTGGAGGCAGAGGAGGAGCTAAAAGCTAGGCCGTTGATGGAGGATGAGCGGCTGAGAGTTGGCCTTTCGATGGAGAAGGAGCAGCAGAATAGGCGGGTTGCAGGTGAGGGATCTGATTGAGGAGTTCATTAGTGAACACTGCAAACTACTGCTGAAAAAATTAAGTGATCTAATGAGTGGATTCTTCAAGCTAGGCCTGTGTGACATAGCCCGGATGTGGTTCTCTAGGGATGGGGTGATCAGTCCTACGCTCAGAGCCATACATTGTTGCTCGGAGAAGAAAGAAAGCCCTACGGTGGGTGCCAAACTATTAATATCAATAATCAAATAACTAATTAAGTGAGTGGTTAGGTTGTCGGGAGTCCTCTAACTCTTCCAAATGACCAGTTCTAGAAGGAGTTGTTCTTTCCTGCACATGTAAGAACGCGTAAGAGGACGGAGTTGGGTTCTCCAGTTATTCCTACAATGATCAAGTCAGTAAATTACTTGAGTGGAGAAGAAAAGGAACTATAGAAGTTCTTGAGCACAGAGAGTAGAAAAATTGCTTACCCGTATGTAGAAAATAGTCCCTCTACTTATAGTGTTGTAGACGGGTATCTGAGTAACTTCACCTGAGTCCATGTTGGCGGTTGAGTCAGCAATTGTTCGACAGGTGTTAGCTGTAGAGAGGGGTGAGTCATCCCCGTGTTTAATGTGATGGTGATGGGTTGTGTGTGGCACTGACGTGGTCCGATGAATCATAAAGACTTTTGGGGTTGGAGAAATGATGACTCTGATGCAACATTTAATGTGATGGCGTCTAGCTATCGGCAAGGGGCTCGAGGTAATCGTTACCTCTCTACTCGTCTGGCCGAGGGCTGAGAGGTATCGCCTTTTGGGCCAGCTACATGGGGTGTCGGCCGAGAGGTTGGTCGAGCAGGTCATTCGTAGAGTCAGCCTTGCGAGGGGGTCAACAATTTTTGCCTCTTGACTCGATTACGCAAGATGTCGACCCATCGTGTCGTTTATGTTGGGGCTCTCACGTGGATTAGGCGTAATGCCGGACACGTGTCGGCTATTCACTCGTGGATTATTCTAATTGTTAAAAGGCTATAACAATAGTAGTATAATATGTTATATTAAATAAAATAACAAATTATTTAGTGTTTAATATTTAATATTTTTAACTACATTTTATAATTTTCTATGATAATTAACTTTAATATAATAGTTATTTTATTATATTATATTAAATTAATATAATATATAAGTAATCTAATAGATTTTATATTTTATTTTATAACTTTTATATTATATTATATTTTTATCAATATAATATTGATGTAATTTATGAAAGTAATATATTACCATATATTAAATTATAATATAATATAATATATTTTATTAAACACATTTGAATATATTATATGAAAGATATATTAAAACATTATAAAATTAAAATATTATTTCTTGTATAATATATTATATTTAACATAATTTAATATTTTATATTAAATTTTAATTTTAACATAATATTAATTTTATTGTATTATACAAATTTGATTTAATATATATTAATTATATTTATATTGTATCATATATGGTAATATGTATGAGCTATATAATATTTTAGTAAATATATAATATTATATTAATTTTGTAATATTAAGTTAATTTAATATAATATATAATAATCTATTATATGAATATATTAAACATAGTTTTAAATATTATAAACTTAAAATATTACTTATAATATAATATAATATATTTAATATAACTTAATTATTATTTATATAATATAATATAAATTGATCATTATATTATTAACAAATTATTTTTTATAATATTATCGATTATATTTAGTTATTATATTAACATTCAGTCTAAACTCAAAACACCTAAAAGATGTTTTGAAATAAGTGCGATGTTTATTGTTTTGAGGTGTCTTTTACCATAAAAACGCTATAGTTTCCAAACACATGGCGATTTTATTTTGACAAAGCACTATAGAAATGGAGGAAACGGCATGGTTCCCAAACGCACCCTTAGTAATTGCAGAGCCCTTTCAAGCTCTCCAAAAATGTTGGATGGAAATAACCTTCTTCATTTTAAAATGAAAGGACATATTTAATGAATTGGGATTCTCTCCACTTTAATAGAGGGACCATTACTAATTATCATAACTGTTGATTACGTGGTGTGTAGTTATGATTTTATATCCAACTCTTATCATACTACATGAATTACACTTATTCCTAATTCATGCGCAAAAAACTAATTATAATCATCTACTAGATAATCAATCATTTTGATTAGATAAGGAACCATGTATTATCTTTTTAGTAGCGGAGAGAACCCGATTTCATATTTTATTGATGAGAAACAAAAAGTATAATTCACAGCATAATAGGGGGTAAAGTTACTCTCAACAAAGTTGTGGGTAGAGGAACAACTCACCCCTCATAATAATAGGATATCCTCTCCAGAAAAAGTCGGCAGCCAAGTCGCAATAAAAGCGGTAGTTGTGGTGGAACAATTGGTCATAGCCAGTAATTTTCTTCATATGTATCAATTTATTATCAAATTATGATTCATGTTCGTGTGGAGCCCTTCCACCCAATAAAGGAGTTTCTTAATGTTATGAACATGGAGAGGCCTTTTTCCCTGCGATGTTACCTTGAGCGACTACGGAGGTTTTGGCTAGCATGTTACCTTGAGCGACTACTGAGCTTTTGGCTAGCTTGTGCCTGTTAACACAAATAGTACAAATTTGAGCGGGACTGAATACACAGCCAAATAGTATTGACTCCTCTGACAGAGCCCATTACTCTTGCGCTGATATGTAACATTTATAGTATAAAAACTATAATCTTCAATCTTGCTATAAATCCAAGTCTTGTTATAGTGATAGAAGATCTTTGACATGGTATCCAAGTAACCCATATTATTGGCCACAGTATCTAAAGTGGATAGGTTTTTGGCCCATAGAAGGATCCTCAACTAGCTAAAGGGAGCATGCAAGCGTATAAAACTATAATCATCAATTCTCATTACAATTTTGCAGTTTTGGTTGAGGAACGTTGATAATGCGCATCGATGTATCCATCATATTAGTTACTAGGACTTGAACTAGAGAAAATAGTAAAAGTTCTCAGTGCCCCGGACTGAAAACAATCAAGTAATATTTGTAACCACAATATGACAAAGATTAAGGCATTCAAAAATCAAATGCAAAGAAACTCGCTTAAGATTTAAACTTAGCCGGAAATTACTCAATTGATAAGCTTGCAGAAGACCACGACGTCTGCAATAATTACTAACTTCCCCCTTGCATTCAAAAGTAAACATGAAAATGATGCCCAGACTATATCCTGTAGTTCACAGTAATAAAATATGCAGCACAGGTCATAGGAAACGTGAACTAGACTTCATACCTTTAATCAATCTGCGAAATGATATCCTTATTCAAAATGGTTTCCATCCTTTCCCAGCTACTGGGGAAAAAATTAAGTGGAGTACAACAACAAATATAGATATATGTTCTAATATTGTTCTATTCACATTTGCAATCGTTTGGTTGCAGAACAATTGCCTTCTAGTGAAGCATATGATGCTCATTCAAGGAGAATTCTGAACTGTCTCCTCAAGCATAATCCCTTGATTGCTGTTGTTCACCATAAATCTCAGACCCAATTCATATGCAGAGAAAATAGCCCCGTTAACGATAAAAGCTCGAGCCACAGCAGTCCCCAATCCTCTCCACAACACTGGGTACCCTTCGTCTCTCACACTCTTAACAAGACAATCGACAATTCCCTGATATTTCTCCCCGTGAGATGCTGACTGCGCTTGAATCCTAGACTTGATAACATCTAATGGGTAGCAACATACCCAACTTGCCACGCCTGCTAACCCGCCAGCAAAAAGCATAGTCGCAAGGGTCTCTTGCCCACTCTTTCTGCATCCCGGATAAAGCTTCTCTCGAGCAAATTCGTAACTCCAGAAGTAAACACCGTGAGCTGGAGCATCTCGAAGAACTGTTATTGATAGGCCTCGATATATACCTTTTAGACCTTCGGTCCTTAGGATTTTTTTCGCCATGCACATTGGCCCTTGAGTTTGCTTCTGATGTTTACCTGTGGTTTGTAGTTGAAGCTGGATCTTGACGAGCTCTACTGGGCTTAGAATTAGGCTCTGGAGAGCACCGGTGCCGATGCCGGCTAGGGCTACAGTACTGTAGGGGGGAGGTTCCGTTTTGTTGCTTGAGTTTAGAGCTCTAGTTAAGACTGCATATACCTGGAAGGCCACGGCATTCTGCATTGAAAAATATTGCAGTGGTTATTACTTAGTTTGTAGGAAAATACAAAAATTATTTCTTGCTTATGCTACTGCTTAGAACTTTATTTTCCCGATGAAGAAAGGAGAATATTTGGATGAATGTTATGATGGATATAAGGATATATCCTAAAGAGATAGGATAAAAATGTATGCACCAACAGAAAGAGATCCTAGTGAGGATTAAATGAGAGAAAACTAAAGGAGATGGTTTTGCCTGTTGATTATGAGATGGTTTCGCCTGTTGAGAATATCAACAGAATCCACTAAATGCCTAGCCACTAAATGCTTAGATGTAAGTGATAAGATTATAGTTGAAATAGGCAAACAAGGACCAGAGTTAGGCCCTAGATACCTTGGTTGAAGCATTTAAGGAAAACATGCTAATAGCTCAAGGAGATAATCCTTAATATAACTAGATAAAAAATAGATTCATGCTACAAGCTCCAAATTTTAAAAAATAATGCTATTTGCTATAAAGAATTTCTCTATGCTTAATTCACATTAACCTAGCACAAAGTAACAGAAATTTAAATCCATATAGATTTCACTACAAGGATAGGGTAGCAGATAAACCTTACACGAAATATATGGTGATAACATCGATGTGTCAACCTTGATATACTCTGCCTGCTCTAGAGAGTTTTTATGATGTCCGCAGTGTTATCAAAGGCGCGTGCCTCATTGTGCCTCATGCGCCCTACGACGTAGGATGGTGGCAAAGCCTCGTACATATTTGTTCTTAAACAACTCAATTCGGTCTTCACACCCAATAATCAGCAACCCAAAAGAAACATAAAACTCATTAGGCCCTTTTAGCGGCCCAATTGAGGACCCTAACTCATTCTTATTTACTATTTGATTTTGCTTCTATAATAGTCTTGATTTGACTATTGATTTGGATATTATGGACGCCGCTACTAGTTTGGGTGAATTAGCACTATGAACGAAGACCTATTTTATGATTTGGTAAACACTATTTATCTTGAAATATGATTTGGTAGTAAACACTATTTATCTTGAAATATGCTTTACTGAAATATCGTAAATGTGTTCTCTCATGCTTGATTACCTACCTTGAAAAATAATGTGTGGTGGCACCTTGCTTCAATCGGGCATTTGTATTGCATTGCGTCTTGTGCATGTGCGCTTAAAGGGACTTTTCACCCACATTGCGCCTTGCTACCAATGGTCTGAGCTTCTTGAAGGGAAAAGGGTAAAAAGTTTATATTGGATGCTTGGTCCACTAATCTGCACTATAGCAAGCAGTATTGACATGCTTTCCGCCTTTTTTTTAAGTCTTATAATTCCAGTAAGTTGGATAATAATTAATATATTCTGAACAATAAGCCAACCGGAATTTGTTTAGATAACAAAATAGCAATGTCCATCTTCAGTTCTGGCTATGAATAGATTTCTCTAACTAACTCAAGGGTACAGGATAGGGTGTCAAACAGTGAGTTAGCTATATAATGCTCTTAAAATTGCCTAACTCCATAGAAGACATTAGACGAGTCTGTAAATGGAAACATTGGAGAAACCAAGAAATATCCAGGTTCAGTTTTATCACCTTAGGAATCATTTCCAACAATGGTCTTTGTGACATCACAGAACATGAAAAATAGTCCCATCACAGTATCTTTAATGGAAAAGTTTTTTGAAAAAAATCAACTGAAAATAAATCACAAACAGTAAGTTGGGATCCGAGTGTAAACGCAAAATTGAAACTGCATGCTATCAATATTATTATCAAATGAACAAATCTGTGGTCAGAGAGTTAAATGTCTGGCCGGCCCATATCAACAACTCAGCAGGGAAGCAAAAAAATGAATAAAACCAATACCAAAATTATCAAAACAATTACACGTAATTGTATTCTTATATCCAGAAATTCCGCATATATTATGCTTTTACAAAGAATAGATTGACAAAAACATAGTTTAATTATAATTTGCCTCTAGAAGGTTTGGGTCCTATTAATATGTCCCAGAAGGTTTGCTGCCTTCAATATGCTGATGATACTTTAGTTTTCTGTAAAAACAAAAGAGAGCAGCTGACAGTTTTGAAACTGATCTTATACTGTTTTGAATTAGCATCTGGATTAAAAATAAACTTTAACAAGAGTTTGCTCATTGCTCTTGAAGATAATGAGATCTTGCAGTTGCTCATTGCTCTTGAAGATAATGAGATCTTGCAGCATAATCTGGCTGGCATGTTAAATTGTAAAAGTAGTAGTTTTCCTATCACATATTTTGGGGTTCCTTTGAGGCCTGGAAAATTAAAAAAAGAGGATTGGTCTCCTATTATTGATAAGTTTGAAAGAAGATTGTCCTTATGGAAAGGAAAATCTTTATCAAGGGGAGGAAGATTAGTGCTTGTTAATGCAGTTCTTTCCTCTATGTCAATTTTTTGGATGTCTTTTTTCTTATTTTCAGGGTGGCTTATTGATAGAATTGATATGATGAGGAGAAGATTTTTATGGACTGGTTCTTTGGAACACAAAAATTCATCTAATTTGGTTAAATGGGAAGAGATTTGCAGACCCAAAAAGCTAGGTGGCTTGGGTATCATAAATTTGAGAACTATGAATAAAGCCTTATTGGGAAAATGGATTTGGAAATGGTTTGATGATAAGATGGATCTATGGAAAAAAATAAGTTTCTACAAGTATTTTGAAAATAAAAACTGGTCAGATTATTTTTGTTCTGACAAAAGATCCCTTTCTCATTTCTGGAGGAATATTTTTATTAATGTTGATAGCTTTTTATGTAGTACTAGTGTAGATGTGGGGAATGGAAATAATACTCTTTATTGGCTTGATAAATGGACAGGTGCAAATACTCTGGCTTCTATGTTTCCTTCTCTTTATAACATTGCATCATTCCCTTATGCTACTATTACCAGTTTGAGGAAAAAATTAAATAATGATTGGATTTGGGATATTAAATTGCAAAAACAGCTGACAGGAAATCTGGTCTTTCAATATTATGATATGTTGAACAGTATTATGCTTATTAATTTTGTTCACAAGGAGGATAAGAGAAAGTGAATTTGGGAAGCAAAAGACAAGTTTACTGTTAAATCATATTATCATTTTCTTATTGATGGAGGCTCAAGGTATGATTGCTTAAATCTTTGGAAGCTTTCTATTCCTCTAAAAGTAAAATTTCTGGTCTGGTTAGCTTTGAGAAGTGGTTTAAACACGAAAAAGAATTTAGTAAAGAATGGTGTTCACATGGATGTGTTGTGTTGTTTTTGTTCCAAGGAGGAGGAAAATTACCTTCATCTTTTTGTTAATTGTGAGTTTGTATACTCTATTTGGAGATCTGTCCAGTTTAAATTGAATATCAGGAAAGATTTCAAGTTATCTTCCTTAAAAGATATTTGGAAGAAATGGAGTGATGAGAAGTATGATAGTGAGAACATAGAGAGAGATGTGATTCTTTGTTCTCTTATTTGGTGTATTTGGCAGGAAAGAAATGATAGAATTTTTTCAAATAAGAAAAAGAGATCATTAGAACTTTTGAACAAAATTTTGACTTTTGCAAAATTTTGGATAGGTTCTCAGATAACTGATCGTGTAGCTAGATTACAAGAGAGGAGGAGGAAAAAAGCTACTTCTGTTGCTGGAATTTCTTCAGTTTCCACAGCTGGGGGGGTGATTGATCTGCTGGAATGAAGACTAAGCTGAAGAAAGAGATCTGCTTTTGTGGTCTAAATATGAAAAAATGTACATTTGTTGATCTTTTGATACAGTTTTTGATATTTTGTTATCAATTGCTAGGGGGTGAAGAGTTTGGGTGAAGCTGACTGTAAAACTCTGATAATCCAGGATATTCATTCTTGGTTAGGGATGAATACTTTTTTTGTAACAACCAATTTTATTTAATTTAGCTGGCTGGATTACTATGTTAATAATCCATCCTTTTTCTCAAAAAAAAAATTATAATTTGCCTCTCGTCTTAAGGTCTCTTCCACTCACCATTTCAAATATTAAACAAAATGGTGGAGGTGAAGGTTATAATTTTAACCTCTAACACTAAGGTCCATAACCATGAATATGATCTCTTAAATTAAGTCGCTCTCTAAGCATTAGAAAATCTACTTTAAATGGCGTGGCCGGTAGGATTTAAATCTGAGTTGTTCTGATATTGTCTTAAATTAATTCCCTCTAACCATTAGATCAAAACTCCAAAGTCATGGCGAGGATTGAGAATTATATTTTTATATTCTAACACAATCTGCTGGAAATATATATAGTTATGAATAAATTATATACATGAACCTTTTTTCTTATTATATATTATGCCGATATCAGGCATCCCTGATTAGGATTAAAAAAATACCCAGGTTTTAACAATCTAAATCAGATTACGAAACCCCCAGAGAATCTAATTTAAAAAGTTATAATCCTCCGTAATAATATATTAACAACCAGAAAAAATTGATTTGTATCCTCAGAATCTCAACACCAACATATCCAAAGCCAAAACGTGGAATATTTAATAACATCTCATGACATCAAATTAAAACTGAAAACCAACAAAAGCGCAGGAACAGGAAAGAAAGGAAATCCCAGAATCCGTAGAGCAGAAACAAAAGATACCTGAAAAGCCACAGAGGCAAGAGGAGCGCCCATGCCTCTGTAGAGCGCCGAAACGCCCTCCGTCGACGAG